TCAATGACACCAGTGAAATAGGCCAACTGTACATACAACACTGGGGATTAAGATCTTTCTCAGATCTCTAGTCAATGACACCAGTGAAATAGGCCAACTGTACATACAACACTGGAGATTAAGATCTTTCTCAGATCTCTAGTCAATGACACCAGTGAAATAGGCCAACTGACATACAACACTGGGGATTAAGATCTTTCTCAGATCTCTAGTTAATGACACCAGTGAAATAGGCCAACTGACATACAACACTGGGGACAAAGATTTTTCCCGAATCTCTAGTCAATGGCACCAGTGAAATAGGCCAACTGTACATACAACACTGGGGATTAAGATCTTTCTCAGATCTCTAGTCAATGACACAAGTGAAATAGGCCAACTGACATACAACACTGCTAAATGAGATCTTTCTCAGATCTCTAGTCAATGACACCAGTGAAATAGGCCAACTGTACATACAACACTGGGGATTAAGATCTTTCTCAGATCTCTAGTCAATGACACCAGTTAAATAGGCCAACTGTACATACAACACTGGGGATTAAGATCTTTCTCAGATCTCTAGTTAATGAAATAGTGAAATAGGCCAACTGACATACAACACTGGGGATAAAGATCTTTTTCAGATCTCTAGTCAATGACACCAGTGAAATAGGCCAACTGTACATACAACAGTGGGGATTAACATCTTTCTCAGATCTCTAGTCAATGACAACAGTCAAATAGGCCAACTGTACATCCAACACTGGGGATTAATATCTTCTCAGATCTCTAGTCAATGACACAGTCAAATAGGCCAACTGTACATACAACACTGGGGATTAAGATCTTTCTCAGCTCTCTAGTTAATGACACCAGTGAAAAAGGCCAACTGTACATAAAACACAGGAGATTAAGATCTTTCTCAGATCTCTAGTCAATGACACCAGGGAAATAGGCCAACTGACATACAGCACTGGGGATTAAGATCTTTCTCAGATCTCTAGTCAATGACAACAGTGAAATAGGCCAACTGTACATACAACACTGGGGATTAAGATCTTTCTCAGATCTCTAGTCAATGACACCAGTCAAATAGGCCAACTGTACATACAACACTGGGGATTAAGATCTTTCTCAGATCTCTAGTCAATGACACAAGTGAAATAGGCCAACTGACATACAACACTGCTAAATGAGATCTTTCTCAGATCTCTAGTCAATGACACCAGTGAAATAGGCCAACTGTACATACAACACTGGGGATTAAGATCTTTCTCAGATCTCTAGTCAATGACACCAGTGAAATAGGCCAACTGACATACAACACTTGGGAATAAGATCTTTCACAGATCTCTAGTCAATGACACAAGTGAAATAGGCCAACCAACTGACATACAACACTGGGGATTAAGATCTTTCTCAGATCTCTAGTCAATGACACCAGTGAAATAGGCCAACTGACATACAACACTGGGGATTAAGATCTTTCTCAGATCTCTAGTCAATGACACCAGTGAAATAGGCCAACTGTACATACAACACTGGGGATTAAGATCTTTTTCAGATCTCTAGCTAATGACACCAGTGAAATAGGCCAACTGACATACAACACTACTAAATGAGATCGTTCTCAGATCTCTAGTCAATGACACCAGTGAAATAGGCCAACTGCTAACTGACATACAACACTGGGGATTAAGATCTTTCTCAGATCTCTAGTCAATGACACCAGTGAAATAGGCCAACTGACATACAACACTGGGGATTAAGATCTTTCTCAGATCTCTAGTCAATGACACCAGTGAAATAGGCCAACTGTACATACAACACTGGGGATTAAGATTTCAGATTTTCAAATCTCTAGATCTCTAGTCAATGACACCAGTGAAATAGGCCAACTGACATCCAACACTGGGGAAAAAATCTTTTCTCAGATCTCTAGTCAATGACACCAGTGAAATAGGCCAACTGTACATACAACACTGGGGATTAAAATCTTTCTCAGATCTCTAGTCAATGACACCAGTCAAATAGGCCAACTGTACATACAACACTGGGGATTAAGATCTTTCTCAGATCTCTAGTCAATGACACCAGTGAAATAGGCCAACTGTACATACAACACTGGGGATTAAGATCTTTCTCAGATCTCTAGTCAATGACACAAGTGAAATAGGCCAACTGACATACAACACTGGAGAATAAGATCTTTCTCAGATCTCTAGTCAATGACATCAGTGAAATAGGCCAACTGTACATACAACACTGGGGATTAAGATCTTTCTCAGATCTCTAGTCAATGACACCAGTGAAATAGGCCAACTGTACATACAACACTGGGGATTAAGATCTTTCTCAGATCTCTAGTCAATGACACCAGTCAAATAGGCCAACTGTACATACAGCACTGGGGATTAAGATCTTTTTTCAGATCTCTAGTCAATGACACCAGTGAAATAGGCCAACTGTACATACAGCACTGGGGATTAACATCTTTCTCAGATCTCTAGTCAATGACACAAGTCAAATAGGCCAACTGACATACAACACTGCTAAATGAGATCTTTCTCAGATCTCTAGTCAATGGCACCAGTGAAATAGGCCAACTGACATACAACACTTGGGAATAAGATCTTTCACAAATCTCTAGTCAATGACACCAGTGAAATAGGCCAACTGTACATACAGTACTGGGGATTAAGATCTTTTTCAGATCTCTAGTCAATGACACCAGTGAAATAGGCCAACTGACATACAACACTGGGGATTAAGATCTTTCTCAGATCTCTAGTCAATGACACCAGTGAAATAGGCCAACTGTACATACAACACTGGGGATTAAGATTTTTCACAGATCTCTAGTTAATGACACCAGTGAAATTAGCCAACTGTACATACAACACTGGGGACATCAGATCTGTCTCAGATCACTAGTTTATGACACCAGTGAAATAGGCCAACTATGCATACAACACTGGGGATTAAGATCTTTCTCAGATCTCTAGTCAATGACACCAGTGAAATAGGCCAACTGTACATACAACACTGGGGATTAAGATCTTTCTCAGATCTCTAGTTAATGACACCAGTGAAATAGGCCAACTGACATACAACACTGGGGAAAAAGATTTTTCCCGAATCTCTAGTCAATGGCACCAGTGAAATAGGCCAACTGACATACAACACTGCTAAATGAGATCTTTCTCAGATCTCTAGTCAATGACACCAGTCAAATAGGCCAACTGTACATACAGCACTGGGGATTAAGATCTTTTTCAGATCTCTAGTCAATGACACCAGTGAAATAGGCCAACTGTACATACAACACTGGGGATTAAGATCTTTCTCAGATCTCTAGTCAATGACACAAGTGAAATAGGCCAACTGACATACAACACTGCTAAATGAGATCTTTCTCAGATCTCTAGTCAATGACACCAGTGAAATAGGCCAACTGTACATACAACACTGGGGATTAAGATCTTTCTCAGATCTCTAGTCAATGACACCAGTCAAATAGGCCAACTGTACATACAACACTGGGGATTAAGATCTTTCTCAGCTCTCTAGTTAATGACACCAGTGAAATAGGCCAACTGACGTACAACACTGGGGATTAAGATCTTTCTCACATCTCTAGTCAATGACACCAGTGAAATAGGCCAACTGTACATACAACACTGGGGATTAAGATCTTTCTCAGATCTCTAGTCAATGACACCAGTGAAATAGGCCAACTGTACATACAACACTTGGGAATAAGATCTTTCACAGATCTCTAGTCAATGACACAAGTCAAATAGGCCAACTGACATACAACACTGCTAAATGAGATCTTTCTCAGATCTCTAGTCAATGACACCAGAAGGTAAACTAGTACATTGTTGAAAACAACTCCTAGTGGTGAAGTGATCATTTAGATAGGCTTTAAAAAAGTCTTCAAACATAATCTTTTATCAACTAATCTTTCTTTGATACAATCAGGAAAGAGATCAAACCATTTGAATCAGAGATCTCGTAAAATAGAAAAAAAATACAAAATATATATATCATCAAGATATGTATAGATATATATGTTTAACAAATACTGCTGATAATTGCATAAATACATTTCTATAGTGAACAAAAACAGACAATTAATCATGTGGCTTCATCAGGTTCCCCTTACAAATTCAATAAAATGAAGGAAAACAAACTTTAACAAAATTGCCAGGGTTGCCACACATATCTTTAATTTTTTCACACAGATCTTGAACTCTGTTTTTATTATATGGAACATTTACAAAAGATGTTTCAAAATTTTGCTGAGGAGTGAATTTATTTTTAAGATTTCCACTTTAAAATGATAAATATTTAAGAATATAGATTTTAAATCTGTGGGAATCAAACAAAAATCCTTTGAATATTTAGATAAAAATTAGCCATTCTGAAAAGCTTTCTATGTTTTAATCCTCCAGAGATGGGAACTGGCAAGATACTTGCATGAAGTGAGTTATCATGCTATACTTTTCCAGCTGTGACATTGGTCAAGCAGCTGTATTACGAACTTATAAATTCCATAAACTTACTCATAATACATATGATTGATTATTAAAGAACGTAATATAGGAAAGAATTTTTGTAGATATTACCTGGAGTTTGAAAATGAACTTTTTTTTTATTTTGATTTATACAAATGATAAACAGTATTATAACTCAGTCATATTATAACTCAGATTTATTTATCAAATAATAATAAAAAATCAGAATATTAGGAATACAATGAAAATATTTTGCTGCTTAAAGAGAAAAAAACATGTAACTTTAAAGCTCTGTTTTTGTTTTCCTCAGTATACTGTTTAGCATATACAAATCAACATTTTAATGTTTTCAGTTATACATACGTAATCTTGTAGTGGTCAAGTTCGAAAATTATACTGCAAATAAACATTCCATTCTCATCTGATCATTGATATTGAACGATTTACACAAAATGTCCCAATGTTTCTTCTTGGGCTGCTTACACAGTGAGAGTATTCTTAATGTATGGAAGCAGTGTAGCTTCTCCTGTCCCGTTCGCGCCTGGAACCTTCAGTCTCATAGTATGTTAAATCTGGTAAGTATCGATACTGAGAGGCAGGGTTTCTGTAGAAACTGTCTTCCTGAAGAGTACTGTAAAAGCAAAATAATAATGGAGGTTTCATGCTAACAACATCAGGTCAAGTGTACTGTTCCATACAATATTTATGTCTACTTGAAAATTTAAAAGTAAATTCAAGGTACTTTTTCAATCAATGTCTATAAGTATTTTTGTTTTTAAAGACCATCATTTTATTAGGATATACACAAGTAGAGTTGAATAACACAAAGAATCTTCAATGAATCTCTCATCAGTATACATAGACAAAAACTTCTAAACCAGAACTTATTAAAGGACACTTACATGGCTTCCTGGCGAGGCAGGATGAGTGAAGGTTCCCTTCAAAATAAGGAATACAATTAGAATTTACAAACAAATGTTGATATCTCACTATTTAACCATAAACATTTTCCAGGGGAGAACAGGAGCTGTGTGTGTAGCTGCACCACTGTTTATATTATACAGGTGTTTATGGTGGAGGGTTGTGCGTGTAGACACAACAATGTTTATATTATACAGGTGTTTATGGTGGAGGGTTGAGCGTGTAGCTAAAACAATGTTTATATTATACAGGTGTTTATGGTAGAGGGTTGTGTGTGTGTGTGTAGCTATAACACTGTTTATATCAAACAAGTGTTTATGGTGGAGGGTTGTGTGTGTAGATACAACAATGTTTATATTATACAGGTGTTAATGGTGGAGGATTGTGTGTGTAGCTAAAACAATGTTTATATTATACAGGTGTTTATGGTAGAGGGTTGTGTGTGTGTGTGTAGCTATAAGACTGTTTATATTAAACAAGTGTTAATGGTGGAGGATTGTGTGTGTAACTATAGCATTGTTTATATTATACAGGTGTTTATCATAGAGGGTTATGTGTGTGTGAGTGTGTGTGTAGATACAACACTGTTTATATTATACAAGTGTTTATGGTGGACGGTTGTGTGTGTAGCTACAACACTGTTTATACTAAACAGGTGTTTATGGTGGAGGGTTGTGCTTGTGTATGTGTAGCTACAACACTGTTTATATTATACAGGTGTTTATGGTGGAGGGTTGAGGGTGTGTATGTGTAGCTACAACACTGTTTATATTATACAGGTGTTTATCATAGAGGGTTTTGTGTGTGTGTAGCTACAACACTGTTTATATCATACAGGAGTTTGTGGTGAAGGGTTGTGTGTATAGCTACAACACTGTTTATATTATACAGGTGTTTATGGTGGAGGGTTGTGTGTGTAGCTACAACACTGTTTATATTATACAAGTGTTTATGGTGGAGGGTTGTGTGTGTAGCTACAACACTGTTTATATTATACAGGTGTTTATGGTGGAGGGTTGTGTGTGTGTGTGTATGTAGCTACATCTCTGTCTATATGATACCGGTGTTTATGGTGGAGGGTTGTGTGCGTGTGTAGCTATAACACTGTTTATATTATACAGTTGTTTATGGTAGAGGGCTTTGGGTGTGTGTAGATACAACACTGTTTATATTATACAAGTGTTTATTGTGGAGGGTTGTGTGTGTAGCTACAACACTGTTTATATGATACAGGTGTTATGGTAGAGGGTTGTGTGTGTGTGTAGCTACAACACTGTTTATATTATACAGGTGTTGATGGTGGAGGGTGGTGTGTGCATAGCTACAACACTGTTTATATTATACAGGTGTTTATGATGGAGGGTTGTGTGTGTAGCTACAACACTGTTTAGATGATACAGGTGTTGATGGTGGAGGGTTGCGTGTGTGTATGTGTAGCTACATCTCTGTCTATATGATACCGGTGTTTATGGTGGAGGGTTGTGTGCGTGTGTAGCTATAACACTGTTTATATTATACAGGTGTTTATGGTAGAGGGCTATGGGTGTGTGTAGATACAACACTGTTTATATTATACAAGTGTTTATTGTGGAGGGTTGTGTGTGTAGCTACAACACTGTTTATATGATACAGGTGTTATGGTAGAGGGTTGTGTGTGTGTGTGTAGCTACAACACTGTTTATATTATACAGGTGTTGATGGTGGAGGGTGGTGTGTGTGTAGCTACAACACTGTTTATATCATAAAGGTGTTTATGGTGGAGAATTGTGTGTGTAACTACACCACTGTTTATATTATATAGGTGTTTATGGTGGAGGGTTGTATGTGTGTATATGTAGCTACAACACTGTTTATATTATACAGGTGTTTATGGTGGAGGGTTGTGTGTGTGTGTGTGTATGTGTATGTGTGTGTGTATGTGTGTGTAGCTACAACACTGTTTATATTATACAGGTGTTTATGGTAGAGGGTTGTGTATGTGTGTAACTATAACACTGTTTATATCATACAGGTGTTTATGGTAGAGGGTTGTGTGTGTGTGTAACTACAAAACTGTCTATATTACACAGGTGTTTATCGTAGAGGGTTGTGTGTGTGTAGATACAACACTGTTTATATTATACAGGTGTTTATGGTGGAGGGTTGTGTGTATGTGTGTGTGTGTGTGTGTGTGTAGATACAACACTGTTTATATCATAAAGGTGTTTATGGTGGAGAGTTGTGTGTGTAACTACACCACTGTTTATATTATACAGGTGTTTATGATAGAGGGTTGCGTGTGTAGCTACAACACTGTTTATATCATAAAGGTGTTTATGGTGGAGAATTGTGTGTGTAACTACACCACTGTTTATATTATACAGGTGTTTATGGTGGAGGGTTGTATGTGTGTATATGTAGCTACAACACTGTTTATATTATACAGGTGTTTATGGTGGAGGGTTGTGTGTGTGTGTGTGTATGTGTGTGTGTATGTGTGTGTAGCTACAACACTGTTTATATTATACAGGTGTTTATGGTGGAGGGTTGTGTGTGTAGCTTCAACACTGCTTATATTATACAGGTGTTAATGGTAGAGGGTTGTGTTTGTGTGTAACTATAACACTGTTTATATCATACAGGTGTTTATGGTAGAGGGTTGTGTGTGTGTGTGTGTGTAACTACAAAACTGTCTATATTATACAGGTGTTTATCGTAGAGGGTTGTGTTGTGTGTGTAGATACAACACTGTTTATATTATACAGGTGTTTATGGTAGAGGGTTGTGTGTGTGTGTGTGTGTGTGTGTGTGTGTGTGTGTGTGTGTGTGTAGATACAACACTGTTTATATCATAAAGGTGTTTATGGTGGAGAATTGTGTGTGTAACTACACCACTGTTTATATCATATAGGTGTTTATGGTGGAGGGTTGTGTGTGTGTGTGAGGGTGTGTGTGTATGTGTGTGTAGCTACAACACTGTTTATATTATACAGGTGTTTATCATAGAGGGTTTTGTGTGTGTGTGTGTAGCTACAACACTGTTTATATCATACAGGAGTTTGTGGTGAAGGGTTGTGTGTGTAGCTACAACACTGTTTATATTATACAGGTGTTTATGGTGGAGGGTTGTGTGTGTAGCTACAACACTGTTTATATTATACAAGTGTTTATGGTGGAGGGTTGTGTGTGTAGCTACAACACTGTTTATATTATACAAGTGTTTATGGTGGAGGGTTGTGTGTGTGTATCTTAAACACTGTTTATATTATACAGGTGTTTATGATGGAGGGTTGTGTGTGTAGCTACAACACTGTTTATATCATAAAGGTGTTGATGGTGGAGAATTGTGTGTGTAACTACACCACTGTTTATATTATATAGGTGTTTATGGTGGAGGGTTGTGTGTGTGTGTGTGTATGTGTGTGTGTATGTTTGTGTAGCTACAACACTGTTTATATTATACAGGTGTTTATGGTGGAGGGTTGTGTGTGTAGCTTCAACACTGCTTATATTATACAGGTGTTAATGGTAGAGGGTTGTGTTTGTGTGTAACTATAAAACTGTTTATATCATACAGGTGTTTATGGTAGAGGGTTGTGTGTGTGTGTAACTACAAAACTGTCTATATTATACAGGTGTTTATCGTAGAGGGTTGTGTGTGTGTAGATACAACACTGTTTATATTATACAGGTGTTTATGGTAGAGGGTTGTGTGTGTGTGTGTGTGTGTGTGTGTGTAGATACAACACTGTTTATATCATAAAGGTGTTTATGGTGGAGGGTTGTGTGTGTAGCTTCAACACTGCTTATATTATACAGGTGTTAATGGTAGAGGGTTGTGTTTGTGTGTAACTATAACACTGTTTATATCATACAGATGTTTATCGTAGAGAGTTGTGTGTGTGTAGATACAACACTGTTTATATTTTACAGGTGTTTATGGTGGAGGGTTGTGTGTGTGTGTGTGTGTGTGTGTAGATACAACACTGTTTATATTATACAGGTGTTTATGGTAGAGATCTATGTGTGTGTGTAGATACAATACTGCTTATAATATACAGGTGTTTATGGTGGAGGATTGTGTGTTTGTGTAGATACAACACTGTTTATATTATACAGGTGTTTATGGTGGATGGTTGTGTGTGTAGCTACAACATTGTCTATTTATACAGGTGTTTATGGTGGAGGGTTGTGTATGAAGATACAATGTTTATATTATACAGGTGTGTATGGTGGAGGATTGTGTGTGTAGCTAAAACAATGTTTATATTATACTGGTGTTTATAGTAGAGGGTTGTGTGTGTGTGTGTGTGTGCATGTATGTGTAGCTATAACACTGTTTATATCATACAGGTGTTTATGGTAGAGATATATGTGTGTGTGCACAGATACAACACTGCTTATATTATACAGGTGTTTATGGTGGAGGGTTGTGTGTGTGTGTAGATACAATACTGCTTATATTATACAGGTGTTTATGGTGAAGGATTGTGTGTTTGTGTAGCTACAACACTGTTTATATTATATAGGTGTTTATCATAGAGGGTTTTGTGTGTGTGTGTAGCTACAACACTGTTTATATCATACAGGAGTTTGTGGTGAAGGGTTGTGTGTGTAGCTACAACACTGTTTGTATTATACAGGTGTTTATGGTGGAGGGTTGTGTGTGTAGCTACAACACTGTTTATATTATACAAGTGTTTATGGTGGAGGGTTGTGTGTGTGTATCTTCAACACTGTTTATATTATACAGGTGTTTATGGTGGAGGGTTGTGTGTGTATGTAGCTACATCTCTGTCTATATGATACCGGTGTTTATGGTGGAGGGTTGTGTGCATGTGTAGCTATAACACTGTTTATATTATACAGGTGTTTATGGTAGAGGGCTATGGGTGTGTGTAGATACAACACTGTTTATATTATACAAGTGTTTATTGTGGAGGGTTGTGTGTGTAGCTACAACACTGTTTATATGATACAGGTGTTATGGTAGAGGGTTGTGTGTGTGTGTGTGTAGCTACAACACTGTTTATATTAT